GGATATCAGGGACAAGATTGTAGACCTACACAAGGCTGGAATGGGCTACAAGACCATTGCCAAGCAGCTTGATGAGAAGGTGACAACAGTTGGTGCGATTATTCGCAAATGGAAGAAACAAAAAAGAATTGTCAATCTCCCTCGGCCTGGAGCTCCATGCAAGATCCCACCTCGTGGAGTTGCAATGATCATGAGAACGGTGAGGAATCAGCCCAGAACTACACGGGAGGATCTTGTCAATGATTTCAAGGCAGCTGGGACCATAGTCACCAAGAAAACAATTGGTAACACACTACGCCGTGAAGGACTGGAATCCTGCAGCACCCGCAAGGTCCCCCTGCTCAAGAAAGCTCATATACATGCCCGTCTGAAGTTTGCCAATGAACATCTGAATGATTCAGAGGACAACTGGGTGAAAGTGTTGTGGTCAGATGAGACCAAAATGGAGCTCTTTGGCATCAATTCAACTCGACGTGTTTGGAGGAGGAGGAATGCTGCCTATGACCCCAAGAACACCATCCCCACCGTCAAACATGGAGGTGGAAACATTATGCTTTGGGGGTGTTTTTCTGCTAAGGGGACAGGACAACTTCACCGCATCAAAGGGACGATGGACGGGGCCATGTACCGTCAAATCTTGGGTGAGAACCTCCTTCCCTCAGCCAGGGCATTGAAAATGGGTCGTGGATGGGTATTCCAGCATGATAATGACCCAAAACACATGGCAAGGCAACAAAGGAGTGGCTCAAGAAGAAGCACATTAAGGTCCTGGAGTGGCCTAGCCAGTCTCCAGACCTTAATCCCATAGAAAATCTGTGGAGGGAGCTGAAGGTTCGAGTTGCCAAACGTCAGCCTCGAAACCTTAATGACTTGGAGAAGATCTGCAAAGAGGAGTGGGACAAAATCCCTCCTGAGATGTGTGCAAACCTGGTGGCCAACAACAAGAAACGTCTGACCTCTGTGATTGCCAACAAGGGTTTTGCCACCAAGTACTAAGTCATGTTTTGCAGAGTGGTCAAATACTTACTTCCATCATTAAAATGCAAATCAATTCATAACATTTTTGACGTGCGTTTTTCTGGATTTTTTTGTTGTTATTCTGTCTCTCACTGTTCAAATAAACCTACCATTAATATTATAGACTGATCATTTCTTTGTCAGTGGGCAAACGTACAAAATCAGCAGGGGATCAAATACTTTTTTCCCTCACTGTACGTATGCCCAGACCTGCTCTCAAGTGTCAGTGTTGGTAACCAAAGCACTGGTTCAGTGACTCAGCCCAAATAATGTATTAATGATGGGGTGACGCACACATGCATTTCTCTCCAACCACTGTTCAGTTTGAGAATGCAGGGGCGTTAGATCCGAGACAGGGGAAAGACATGGCACCCACCTGAGGTCAAACTGGGTGCCTTATGGAGGGCAGTACATGAAGTAGATTTCAGACCCATCTGTGCATAGTTTGAGTGTTCTCATTTTATATACATGGGCATTTTCGTGGCTGTTAAGTTTTATTAGTGCAAAGAAAGGTGATTCGATTTCCGACCCCCAGGAACAGGTTTGCAGATTTTCTGAGCATATCTGTGAGGTCTTCAGAGAGGGGAAATACTTCAGCCTGGAAAACGTCATGGGGCAAAGCGAGGATGACCCTACTGAGGCTGCTTTGTCTCAAATATTGGAAGAAGTAGTCACCAACTGTGTGTGGCTGGATGAAGTGCCATCTGTTGAGGAAGTACAGAAGGCTGCCAGGTAATGTAAGATCGGTGAGCAGCCTCCACGGCGAGTGCGCTGAAGTGGCTATGTTAATGTGAGAGATTATCATGTTAATGTAATGTTAATATAATGGACCAGATGACGCCAAAAGGCGTCATCTGGTCCAATGTTGGACAGTGCATACATTATCAGAGTTATGTTTTTTGTTTGCATTCCGACTGCAGGTATTGTGGTCAATGCAAACATGACTCCTTGTAAAAAAAGGTGTCATTTTTGTTGGCAGATAAAAGGGTAAAAAATAAATTATCATATTTTGCTACTGGCAAAGGAGGTTCCAATGGAACGAATCTTTGTTGATAGCCAGTGGGTTTGCAAAGTACCTTTGTCTTAAAGAAATCAATATCGTGTGAGTCCACTGCATTAAAACAATGATCAGCCACGGCTGAGGTATTGGTCCTACCGTGTTTCAGAGCTGCCTTGTATTCACGAACACGGCCCGAGACATGTCGCTTAGTTGCCCCAATGTAACTACTACCGCAAACACAGCTTATTTTGTAAATACCGGGGTATTGCATGTCAGGTATCACATCCTTCACAGATGGGATCAGATCACGAATTTTACGTACGGTACTGTGTTAAGGTGATAGCTTTACGGATTGTGTAGTCTGAATATCCATTCATCTTGAGAGCTTGGTGTACATGTTCCAGTTCACCGTCTAGGTGATGATGGTCGGAAATACATCGAGCTCTATGGTGTAGAGTTTTGATGAGGGAATTCTTCTGGGATGGATGGTGGTGGGAGTCAGGTTTTAGGTAAGCATCTGTATGGGTGGCTTTCCTGTAGATAGTATTCCATTGAGCCATCTGGTCTCTTTTTGATTAAAACATCCAAGAATGGTAACTTACCATCCTTTTCCACCTGGGTGTATGGAATTGAAGTGGTTGAGGAATTGGTTCAGAGCTGGTCAGCCATGTGGCCAGATGACGAACGTGTCATCTACGTACCTCTTCCACAAGGACGGACGTAGAGTGGATGCCTGGATGGCATCTGTCTCAAATGTTTCCATGAAAACATTGCCTACAACTGGAGATAAGGGAGAACCCATTTATCAAGGTTTAAAATGGGCGTAACCCAAATGTCAGCAGCATGGTTGGGGCAGCTAATGTTAATGTAAGTGATGGGCAGCGACTGCAATTGGTGGTGAGTGATGGTAAGGTGGGGCCTTACCATCAGCCCCACTAAAACTAAGCACCTGCCTGGGTATTTTGTGCTATCAAACACTCCACCCCCTCAACTCCCCATTGGTGATGACGGGGCAAGAGTGTGGAGATTTTTCCATACCTGGGCAGTGTGCTTATGGCCACCTCCGATTTGACAGTAGAGGTCTCACGCCAAATCAGTTGAACAGAATTATATTTTCATCGGCTGTGTAATGCTGTTTGAAAGCTTCCTGGTCTGTCGCGCGACACGGAGCTTCGGATCTTCTCGGCCATGGTCATGTCCTCCCTTCTCTATGCTGGATTGTGTGAGGAGCTCACAAATCCTCGAAATATCTGGACAAAGTCCCATCGGTGAGTTCCTCCCATCAGGCAAGGCTGCGTTGGCTAGGTGATGTAGCCCATATATCCAGCCTTCGCATGCCTAAACAGCTTTTGTTTGGCCAGATAGAGGGTGCTAAACGGGTGTGGTATGGGCTAGAGAAAATATGTAATGATGTGGTACAAGAGGATGTGGAGCTGAGTGGACTTCCTGATGACTGGTATCAGCGGTGTCAAGATCAGCCTCTGTGGAGGAGTCTTCGTGAAACATGCTACTGGGCAGTTGGAGGCAGTCACCCTCCAGTAAAAACGGAGGGCGGAGGAGCGAAGCTCACAACAACTAGCAAAGCGGCGGGTGGATAACACACACCAAGTTGACACAATAGGGGGCACAGGTGGTGCATCGGCCAGTCATCTAAGTCAGTCAACCCATGGCACTTCACGTGGCCTTTAAGTGCACTTAGCCTGGCACAAGCACTGTGGTAACATCACCACCATTTAGTGAAGAATTGCAGTCATATAAAAAACTTCATTTTCATTTTTTCTTGTGGGCAGTCGTCAGTGACTGAATTGATACCACCAGCAACCCGCTACACTCAAGAAGCTGGTTATTCGTGGTTGCTCACAGACACGCTCCGAACCAACACCATTAAAACACCATTACTACCCAGGGACTCAGAACTCACTCAATAAAATATTTTATCAATTACTGAATTGGTTAATTAATTACTTTGGTTCTTTCGGTAAAATCACGTAGAAGGGAAAATAATACAAATAAACCAATAAAATTATCACGACGTTTCGATTGCAACACAAGCAATCATCATCAGGTGTGAAAACCACAGCAAGAAAATTGCCGAAAGAACCAGGAATATGAATCCCTGCAGTCACGAAAGCTTTAAATCGAAATTTAATTAATTGTTGTACTTTCGCAGCATCAGTTGTCACCTGTCGTGACAACCGATGCAAACCATACTTAGTACGTATGTTGGTACACATGTTGAACTTCTTTCGCACCGTACGTAGCAAACCGTGCTAATCGGAGGTGCGGGGGGGAAGAACGACAAATGTATTGTGAGTGCTTAGCAGAAGTACTTTCACCCTGATTTCATCATGGGCAGCCGTCTGGATATGAATCCCGGAACTCAGCGGGGGCTGCTCAGTGCTATGTCGCTTTGACTTTTTGGGCAGGAAAAAAAAAATATTCGGTGAGTAAATTGGGTTTGTTTTTTTTTCGCTTGTAGGTGAAAAGTGTAAGTGGACATTTAAAATTAAATAAGGTTTGATTTATGCGTCAGGGTTCTGTAATAAGGACGGAATATTGACCGTCACGATGGTTTTGTCCCAGCGGCGTTGGGTCCATGATTTATTATTGTAAATCAGAGAATCCGGTTTTTGTAACCTCAGGAAATTCCTTGCAGTCTACATTGCTTTGAACTTCACAGTACACACTGGGAAAACTCTGCTCAAGAAAGAAAATATTTATCAGAAGTTAATCATTTGAAGCAATCTTGAATATTTCCTATATGACAACATACGGTTTTGAGGATTCAAACATTAACGAAATAGGAATGTTAATTTATGGCAATTGACCTGCAGATGACATTCATTTTGCAATAGAATGCTAACTCTTTCAAATCTTGCATTCTGACCTTAATCTCTAATGGTTGGGTAATGTGCAGCGTGTAAGTAACCTTATTAACTTTTCAATTTATTGGAAGAAGTAACTTTTTGTGTTCTATTTTCAGGTAAATCAACTACAGAAGACCGTAATAGAGCCTATGAAAAAGTAAGTTAAATTTTGTTTACAATATCCTGTAAGCACGTTGTACGTACATGTATAAATGTCTATGCAGTGGCGTCATGCACGTGTATAAATCAGTGCGCCTTATATGTAAATAATTTCACTTGAATTAAGTTATCCACAGTGAGGTGACCCTTATGCCATTGTTTAGCACATGATGTGCCCAATAGACATGCAAATGTAGACCCGGCCATCAGTTTAATTAAAAACCTGGGATTTGATAATAAATTACTAACGTTAAGCATGAGTCACATTGCTGCAGTGTGTACGAGATTTGTTTTCTCAAGCACAACATGCAAGCCTGCAGTCCTAATGTCAATTTTTATTTGTTTCTGACGCATTCTGGATTTTTTTTACGGAATTTTACAGGGATCATTTTGTGATGTGCAAAGTAGGTTATGCTTAATTGATCAATCTCAGATGAATGCAGTCTCAATTAAAGTACTTTTATCATTTTTATTATTGGTCGTTCGTTCACAACATCGTTCTGTCACGTGTGTCAATGACGAAATAACTGTCGGATTTGGTTATGTCAATGTCAACTTTCAGCTGTGTAAATTACTACAAGCCTTTCAGTCTTTCCTTTGTAGCACGTGGCATCGCGAAGCAAATCAAACCTGGGAATGATGAGGAAAACCCTATCAAAATATCTGCACAGCGGCTATGTTTTTGTTAAACATTATTCCGTGTCGTTTTAAACCTTTGGCATCAGTAAAGTTCAGCTTTGCAAACCAGTTCAGCTTTGACCAATTCAATTTGTAACTTTTGTACAGTTTTCACACATTTACTTTTACAATGTATTGCTTTTGTTAGTCTAAGTGTAAATGCTTTGTATCAGGAGTAATGCTTGTGGGCTCGTGTGCTGAATACTTGACCTGGTCAAGGCCTATGATACCATCAGTAAGCCTGGGCTCTGGGTTGTTCTTCATGCTTTTGGAGTCCCTGACCCTCTGCTCACGATCATTAAGGACCTTCATGATGGTGAGCAGGCCCGGGTAAAACTACGTGGCCGGGAGTCCGAGCCATTCCCTGTACACCTTGGGGTGCGACAGGGATGTCTTCTGGCTCCCACATTATTTAACATCTATTTTTACCACGTAGTTCGTGAAGCCTTCAATAGCTGTACCGGGGGAATCTCCGTATGGTACAGATATAATGGGAGGCTGATCGATGCCCGGGTGCGGTCAAGGGATGGCTGCCTATTGCTCAATCACATTATGTATGCCGATGATTTGGTAATAGCTGCTCATTCAGAGGAGGAGTTGGAGACGCTGCTGCTGAGACTGGAGCGTGCCGCTAAGAGATGGGGCCTTACCATCAGCCCCACCAAAACTAAGCACCTGCCTGGGTATTTTGTACCATCGGACACTCCACCCCCACAACTCCCAATCGGTGATGGGGCAGTTGTGGAGAGAGTGGAGAGTTTCCCATACCTGGGCAGTGTGCTTATGACCGGCTCCAGTTTAACAGCAGAGGTCTCACTCCGAATCAGTCGAGCGGCAATATCTTTTCATCGGTTGCGTAATGCTGTGTGGAAGCTACCTGGTCTGTCGCTCCGCACTAAGCTTCAGGTCTTCTCGGCCACGGTCATTCCCTCCCTTCTCTACGCTTGCGAAACGTGGACCCCCCTAATGGAACATCTTCGCCGGTTAGAAACATTTAGGCTGGCCTGCTTACGATCCATCCTGGGTTTAACCAGACTGGATTGTGTGAGGAGCTCACAAATCCTTGACAGTTCTGGGCAAGGTCTCATTGGTGAGCTCCTCCGGCGGGCAGGGCTGCGATGGCTGGGTCATGTAGCCCGCATGCCCAGCCACCGCATGCCGAAACAGCTTTTGTTCGGCCGGATCGAGGGGGCTAAACGGGCGCGGCACGGGCTAGAGAAGAGATGGAGTGATGTGGTACAGGAGGACGTGGAGCTGAGTGGACTTGCCGATGACTGGTACCAGCGGTGTCAAGATCGACCTCTGGAGGAGGCTCGTGAAGGACGCTTCTGGGCAGTTGGAGGCAGTTGCCCTCCAACAACAACGGAGAGCGGAGGAGCGACGCTCACAACAACGAGCGGAGCGCCGGGTGGCTAAAGAACAGCAGGTTGGCACAGTAGGGGGCACAGGTGGTGCATCAGGCAGTCATCTCAGTCATCTCAGTCAGTCGACCCGTGGCACCTGGGTCTGCCCCGTGACCTGCCAGTGGGCGTTCGACACTTCACGTGGCCTCAAGGTGCACATGGCCTGGCACAAGCGTCGTGGTGACGTCACCGCCACTTAGTGGCGAATGGCGGTTGTTGTTGTTGTTGTGAATACTTGAGATTTCCCTCATTATCAAGTTGTGCATAATGCTAGGTTACATTATTGAATAAAATGATCAGGAATAGCGCTCTCATTGAAAACCAATTAAATCATCCCAAACTGAGCAATCTTACCGTTGCTGTAGTGTTTATTAAGTATCACATTTGAATGCCTTGAAGCTGACAAACGATGTTGGGAAATATTTTGTACCCAATGCGATACTTGCCTTGTGCCGGGTGTATCCAAACATTCTATATTTAGGGATTGATTGATAAACATGCAGAGACGGTCGAACCACGGACGTAGCTTATATAAGAGTGAACTGTAGGAGTGAGATGTATTCAGAAGAGCTTTTGAAAATAAGTAATATTTAAAAATACTTTTTTTAAAAACAAGCTTTAATGAAATGTACCCTACGAGTAATGGCAAAACTCCACGACTCCAGGAAGTGGCCCCGAAGTTTGCCATAACGTGAGTTGAGCGTGGACAATTTCGACCCAAGCCGAAACATAAGATATAAGAAATATTGCTTAAAAATAATTTTATTTTATTTTTAATGATAGAATATAGTATTGACATCAGTATGACATTAGTATACCAAGTTTGCAGTCGATACCACATTGGGAAGTGGGTTAAAATTGAGTTACAAGATTTGAGGATACGACAACAGACAGAGTTGAGGATATAACAGACAGAGTGAGTTAAATAAAAGCGTGTGAAGAGAATATATTTTAAGAAATTATATAGCAGAAAGGTGTATTCAGAAGACAAATACCAAATATAGGCAGGAGAGGGATGTCATCAGAAGAGATATGAGAGACAGTAGTGATAGACGCATAGATAACGCGTGGTACTCTGTTCCCAGGCCGCCCCCCACAGACCTCCACCCCCTCCCCACAAAGATGATATAATTATTGGGAAATAATTAACTTAAATATGTAGGTCAGAGCCACCTTGGGCAATTCTCAGTGGTAAGCTTGAATGACGGCAGTGGGCCCGATAAAAATGAATTGGCAGGCCGAACTTGACCCGACAGGCTATCGTTTGGACAGCCCTGTTTTTATTTTTTACTTTGTCTCAAATCCACATAACGTGGTTGTTACAATGGCTTTCGTGATTTATTTGATATGCTTTAAAAAAAATTCCCATTGGTTGAAATGTAAACCGTTTGTTTAAAATCACAACGCTGATTCAAACCATATACTTTGCAAATGTGTTTTGGGGGTTATGCATTGATTTGTGAACTGCACATTAATTAAATTTATAGTTCACATATACGTTAGCAGTGCATTTGAATTAGCTTCTAATCCTACAGAAATTAGTGAAAACTCACAAGTATGGTTTCATTTGAATAAATACCTTATAAATAAATATTAATCGTCGAATGGTAGAACAATGGTTTGGTTGACTTTAGGCCTTGGTGGAATAAAAAGTATAAAAATGTATAATTTGTTGACAAAAATTTTAGATTCTAGAAAAGTCCTTTTCAGCCATAAATAGTACCATGTTAATCTTCTTTAATCTACCCTGTTCCAGTAAAGCCGAGTTCTGTTGGAGAGATGGTGAATCTAATGATGTTTGGGACCCAAATCTCACATTTCCAATGTGCAACCATGCTATGCATTCTGGTGATATTTAGCAAGTGTTCTTTGAGCTCAGAAGCTTTCAGTCAATGTAACCAGTGCTTTTGCTCTGCAGCGATGAGGGCTCCTTCTTTCTTGACTTTATTAGAATCTGGGACCAGCTATGAGTCACCTCCTTTGGATTGTCAATGGCGCAGAGTGCAAATTAGAAAATGCCACTTGAAGCTAGTTGGTCTATAGAGATTGCATTCCAACAAGTGCACGTGTCTGTTTTGCCTTTGTGCGGTAGGTATGACATTTTAATGCACGCCTCACTGTGATTTTGGCAGGTTTTCCATTGCGTGGCAAAAACCCAAACAGATACAAGTGTTTCTCGAAAATGAAATGCAATCACAGCCTCATCAGCCATCTCCCAGGTGTTAATTCAGAGCTCTGCGATATTTGCTGATTTAGCGCATAACTCTCAGCTGCATTCCTATATAAAGCTGCAATTATCCGTGTGGTTCCCAGCTCACAAGGCAAGTGAGTCATTCTGCTACATTGCTTGGGTTAATTTTTGTTCTTGTTTAAGTAGAAGAGGTGATGATAACTAATAAATGTCTCTATTTTTGTTACAAAATTTAATCGTGAAACCTGACAAGTTAATAGACATTGCCATGCTTGACTTGAAATCAAAAAGGTGTTCAGTTCAAATCCCAGTCAGAGATTTACTTGACCCAACCCCCATTTTCAAGCGAGATAAAATAAGTACCAGTTTAAAATTGTAAGTCAGCAGTGGTCTTCCTCAGCTGGCTGCCAACTGCCAGTGGGGAGATGAGTTCTGTTTAAGCAGGTAGATACTTTGATTATTAGCTTGGCCATATTATCTTTGCCAATGACCAAATCACCCAGAATGCATCTCATCAGGTGACAGAAGGTAAGCAGGTTTGAGCCTGGATAGTGCTTGGTGACCACCATGCACAAACAGGTTGTCATAGGGCTGCAGAGCTATATTGTATATATGTTGAACTTACACCATTGGAAACCTCATTTGCCAGTAACAAAATATGATAATTGTTTTTTTACCCTTTTATCTGGCAACAAAACTGACACCTTTTTTTACAAGGAATCATGT